TCCAGCTGTAGTTAGCCATTCTGCTTTTCATGCTATGTAGTGAATTTTACATGGCAAATACAGTCTCTGGGAAAAGAAACAAATATTTGAAGTTCTTCTTTTTCAGAACATTCTCATCAAGTTACTGAGGTAGGCTACTTCTTGTTTATTCTCTCTTTTTTATATAAATTTCAGCTTTCTAGCAGCAAAGAGATTCATTTGTATGTTGAAGTTAAAAGGTGTTGATTCTCAGTGGATGTGTTGTATAGTAAGATGGGCTTCTCTTGTTATGAATCCACAGCAGTGTGGATTCAAACCACCTGTGACTGAGGAGGGTCTGTATGCGCACACGCAAATTTTGAATGCTGATCAATGTACAATTTAGGCAAAAGATAACCATTACCACTATTCATTTTAATGAAACATTTATCTGAGCTGTGTTAGCTGATAATAGCAACAGAGTGTTTATGTGATCTGCCTTGCTCTCCTCCCTACTGTTACTGGAAATTGTGGTGCTGGGGACCCACAACACTTGTCAGTGAGAAATCCTGCTATAGCAGGTGAGAAATTCTCCATCTTTCAAAATGGAGAAGTGAAGATATTCACGGTCTTCAGGTACCTTCAGGAATTGTGTGATTTATCAAAGGAGGCAAATGAGTCATTCCCTTCTATGGTTCTGTCTGCCTTGCGTTATAACCTAGGCATTTGACCTGATTGTTAATATTTTACCCAAAAGTTTTAGATAATTTAAATGTTTTTTCTCCCCGCATTGTCAAATATGAAAACTTTGCAAAGAAGTCAAGACTTGCCTTTTAAAGTAGTGGGGTGCACAAAACATATCTGAAGTTTTGGTAAACGGAAACAAAATATGTAGTTGCTTCTTATTTTGCCCATCAGAAATGAATCAGAACACTGGAGGAAAAAAATAGACTGTAAGTCTGAAAACTTTGTCCTTAACCTTTTTTCACCTTTCATTTTGCTTGGGAGTGGAAAGAAAGGAGCATGTTAGAATGCTCTCAAAAGATTGTGGAATAATGATAATTTGCTCTGGTTTCTACTGAAGTGCTGCCATTGAGAATATTCTTATGTTATGGCTTGCTAGTCTTTATTTCCTATTATATTCCCTATAAAAGTGGTGTTCTGAATAATGTCAGTTTTTGGGAGTGCCAGCTGTAAATTAGCTTACAGAAGGGGTGATGGGAAGCTTTTTTAATTGCTTTCTCAAATTTGAATTATAAATAAATCTATTAGTAATAATTGAATAAAGTTTTTAAATATTAATTGCTTCCTTACCATGTAAGATAAACAAATCCATACTAATCTATAAAAGTCAGCAGAAGTTCCTAATGTCATAGTGACTTATCATTTACAGTGTAAGTTCTTAGAGAAATAGTAGATGTTAAAAAACATTTTGGAATTTTGCTTTTTGTAACAGTGATATTTTTCTGCTCGTTGAAATTTAGGTAACATGACATTTCATGTTACTGTAACCAGATACATGGACAAATGTAAAGTAGGGATGCAGACATATAACCTATAGCAAGTACACTTTTCTGAATATTGGAAGCTGTGTAAAGTGAACATTATTGAGTTGTTAAAGCTCATATCAGACCTGCATCTTTAGAAGCTGGTTGTGTGTGACATTGTAGGAAGTCAGCTGATACAGTATTAGAGGAGATTTCTGTCAAGACTTGCATAAACATATTTCTTATGTCTAGACTTCACTCTCTATATTGGAAACCTTTACCTGTTTTCAGTAGCAGTGTAACTGTGCTGTACAACTATGTTTTCACTTCAATTGTGGGGGGGCAGAAGCCTCTAATTTTCATAAATATGGTGATATTTTAGTAAATGTTGATTGGATAAAAATTGAAGAAGTAAAGACTTAGTGCCATGTATTTCTTGATATAAATGAGTTACATGCTTAGCAGGAAACTCAGGAAACTGATACTTTTCCTGAAATAAATTTATGCATTTTCATAGTACTTTAAGATATTTAGGATGATGTCTTGTAGAGACCAGACACATAGTCAGACGTGTCCCTGCATTGTAAGGGGAATACAGTTCCTCCCCAGCATGAAAATTTTTGGGCCCTGGTTTTGAAAACTGTTTTTCTTGTGGTTTAGCCTTTATTTCCCATGAAATTATTAATTTGTCAGTTCCTAGTATCAAATAAGACGGGCTCAAGAGAAAGGCAAGCCATTTCCATGCTTTTGTGTATATCTTGTTTTTTTAGTCCTTTCAAAGCTGGCAAAATTAGTAATGCAATCTGATGTGGATGCTATGTACTTTATAGTGTAGGATTGACTAGAGCACCTGGTGTTCAGAGAGAAAAAAGAGGAAGACTTGTAGTGGTTTTCATGGTTTCTAGCAAAATTTCTTTCTGTGTTCTTTCTTGTTTTATCCTCTGGCATGTTGTTAGTCCAGAAAGACATTTACCCTTCAGTTAGTTCAATTTTTTACATTCCAAAAATCTGCGCTTTTTTATCAGTTGTGTTTGCTTTTTTATCAGTTATCAGCTCTGTTGCTGTTTTAGAAAAAAATGTTTCCAAGGATGCACATTCTTTTTTGACTTCTCCATCAGTAACACTTGGTTCAGTAACTAAGAAAGTTTCATGAAAAAGTGAAAAGGGAAAAGGGAGGTCGTGTGTCACACATAAGGCGAGGGAAAAACACTTTACAGGGAACTTATAGCTGACAGAGAACAAGTTCAGCAGGTCATGGAGTGATGATGTGAGTTAGTGTCAGTGGCAAGACTGTGAGTGCTGGACATGCTTTTGGATATAGAAATGATCCTGTGATTTTGATGCCTGTGGCTCTGCTGGCTTGCTCACCTTGTTAGTGAGTCTGTATCTCATCTGAGGTGATCCAGGGTTACATACAGGGTGTGATAGCCACTGAGTCAGCAAATAGCAAAAGATGATATTACTTATATCAGTAAATACTGAAAGTCCTTTTTTCCATTTGATACCCATCTTCATGTTGACATAAAGACAAAGTGGGAAATTACCATCTCTTGTTTGTTAAGTTGGGTTCTGCCTGTAGTGTTTTGCCAAAATGTAACATATTGCCGAAACCATGTTTTATGGCTAGCTGAATTTGATGGAATTGTTCAAAAATACCTTCACAGTCCCAAGAATTTTAGAAATGAAGTAACCATTTCAGTGGGAATGGTTACATGATCTCTGCTGTTCATCTTTTTTCTGGAATCTGTTTCCTACTTGATATTAAACTCAGCCTCCTTATATTCCAGATTTCTGTTACCCATGTTGTTTTATTTTTTTCTTTTTTTTATTTCATTAACCTATTCTATTTAACAGAAGAGTTATCTGAAGATAGGCAATATTCCAGTATTGCTACCTTAGTGTCTCCATCAAGGAACATTCTGGGAAGAGGCACTAGGGCCAGTAGCTTAAATGATTACTAGTGGCTGGCATTACATCCTGCCTGACTTCAAGCAGAGAAAATATTTGAAATGGAATCTAAAATCCAAAGTAAATTGGAGAAGGATATGCTGTCCTTAATTTTCACTCCAATTCTCTAACCCTAGTTCAGTCATTTTTTTTGGCTGCAGTTGCTTCCCATTTGTATAGAATTGTTGTAATCAGACTTATTCTGGATTGTGTGTGGTGGTTTTATGGCTAGTTTGCCATAGAAATAAAAATGTGTGGAAGAAGAATACTTTTCATATGGGTTTTGCGGCAGTTAACAAAATACTTCCTTTTTGTCTGCATTGAATTATTATTATACCAATGATTCCATCACTTTACTGCTTTGATGATAGTATGATCTATTTGTTTTTGCACAGCTGAATGTATTATTAAAAAAAACCTGAAAAAGTCACTGCTCAGACTATATTTAATCACACTTAGCACTACAACATCATGCATCAAAACTGCAACTAATGATCAGCTCGGTTCTTGTTTTTTGGGTACGTGCATGGTTAGGAGGCTTAAGTTAATATCCTCTGTCAGGTCACGTAGAGATGTGGTTAAAAGATTACTTTTGATTGTGAAGAACAGAAGAAACATAAATTATCTTTTAGAAAATGTATATACAAATGTATGCTGTCTGGCACATGGTGTGATTGTTGGGAATGTCCTGTGCAGGGCCAAGAGTTGGACTTGTTGATTCTCGTGGGTCCCTTCCAACTCAGAATATTCTGTGATGCTGTGCTATTTTATAAGCAGATGCAAGAGATGGGGAAAGAGCATTTCTGAATACTGCACAGTAATATGCTAATGTGAAGAAGAACACAGGAAAACTGAATTCCAGTTGTTCACAGCTTTCTTGATTAAAACAAGGATACCAGTAGGGGTGAAAAAACCAGTTTTGGAATAGTTAGATTACTTGAAAGGACAAAATGAAGGTCGGAGAAGGGAGAAATTGATTGTCTCTTGAGATAGCTTAAATTGCCAGATGCTTTTCTATATTATAGCCATGTAGACGTGAAAGAAAGTTGCGAGTTTAGTGGTGAGCAACAAACAGCATTATTTGGCTCTTCCAGTATTATAGTCAGAAATCACTGTTCTTAGTTGGATTTGTACTTCAAAAATGAGTAGGGATTATGACTAAAGGACCAGCTAAAAAAATGAAGCAGAAATAGAAACCTGGAAATAGGTAGAATTTATGTTTAAAGATGGAGTCACACAAATCACTCACCTGCATATTTTAGTTTACTTTTTCTTTTACTGAAATGTCATCTGAGTAATAACCTCTTAGTAAATTCAGTGTCGTTCATCACTTAATGTTGAGTAGGAGGAACCCAGTTGTGTCATAGTAAACACTTAAGGGAAACTGCTTTCAAGGTGGCAATATCATTATTTGGGGATTGCAGTCAGAGAGTGGCAGTTGTTAAAAGGGTATAGCAGGGAGTACTTACCTACACAACAGCTGTATTTCTTTCTGGCTCCTTTCAATCCAGCAGCATACAAGCAGCAGGCCAACCCCCTCCACATACTGGGTGGGTGTTATGTGTGGTGTTTCTGTAACTGTTAACAACTTTCTAAAACTGTTTTCAGCTTTAGATCCGGCTAAAGATCCATGTTTGAAGATGAAATGTAGTCGCCATAAAGTCTGTGTTGCACAGGATCAACAAACTGCAGTTTGCATTAGTCATCGAAGGCTTACGCACAGGTAAATACTTTAAAAGTTAATCCTGTAGACATTTTTGTAGTGTTCATGACTTGTAAACCATAAATCCATTTTAATTAGTTTAATTGCTTAACAAGATGTGAGCAGAGTAGAAGTGGATTTTAGAAGTCATTATGTATACATAATTTGATTATAATGTTTACTACTTGATTCCTTTTGGCTAGAATATTAAAAAAGTATACATATTTAAGTATTGCAAGCTGCTGGTAAAAATGCATTTAGGGAAATACCCACTGTGCCAGTACTAAATGAATAAAAATATTGTGATAGTATCCTACTGCTGTACATTACTTTGACATCATTTCTTCCTATTATAAGCTAGAGAACTCAAAACTGCCTGCTGAAATGTAGATAACAGGCTGATACACAGTGTAAGTTTTTTGACATTAGTGGGAGATTTTTTCTCTCTTCTTTTTCTCTTCTGTGCATTGTGATTTTCTTTGCATGCTGGACTGGTTAAATGTGAGGAGAAAATATATAGCAAATTCATGTGTTTTTATGGCTTTGTCTGAGGCAGAAATATGAATATGTAGGACCTGAACCATTCACTTAGTTGACTGTTGTGTGCTAAGAAGGTGGAGTCAAATTACATTTTCAACTTGACATTGTTCTTTTTTTGCACACTTCATTGTGGGAAACAGGACACAGTAGAATGGCTAAATTTCAATAAATTGATTTAAATAAGTGTCTGTTAAAGTGCTTTGCTTAGTAGGGGCTGTAAAGAGCTGAGGAAAATAAGACTTCCTTGTGTGTTGGAAGAGGATCATTTCAAGTACAGTTTTATGAATGATACAAGGAATGTTCTTCTGAGTGTCTAGTTATGTTAAATACATCCATCTGGAGCTTTTCAAACAAGAAAGATAGTACATAGTGAAAGGAAAAGTTTAAACTGTTCTCGATCTGCAGCTGTACTTAATTAACAAAAAAACCAGTATTTGTGGAGTTACACTATTTATATTAAACAATCTCAGTGTAGAGCTAGACATTTTAGTTTGGTAAGGTGCTATATATGGTGCAAGAATTATTATCAAAGGCAGGTAGCCTGCTTTCAGCTTCCTGTGAAGTGTTGGGAATACATGAGTGTTAACCGTGAAGAAACTATACAATAATTCAAAATTTCTGAGGTATTACATGTCATGGAAAACAATGCAAATAATGACATTTTCTAGTTAAGTATACATGCAGTAGTTGACAACTGAACTCTTTTAGATTAGATGAAGATGACTACTCTTGAATTAAGAAACTTTTTGACATCAGCCTTCATCCCTGTATTATTCCTCCCACAGTTCTTAGTACTCTTTTAGAAAGGTAATATTTTAAAAGACAAAACTTGCCTGAATATAATGCAGTCAATAATGGGAAACTTTAGAATGGCAGAAACGTGATGATTGTAAAAGCACTCTAAATCTAGTTTTGCAAGGTAGATGAAGCAATTTTTTACCTATCTGTGCTGAGCCAGGGCAGGGTTTTCCCAAGCTTAGATCTCCCTGTTCCCCCAGATTACCACATACAAGGAGAAATAATTTGCTTTCTTTCTAAAAAGGCTTTTTTTCTTGCAGTTTCTGACCTTTTCGTAACATGGTGTGTTTAAAGTATGAGTATTATAAACACAAGGAGACATGTCTGCTGAGTCTCTTTACCACGACTGATTTTCTTTGCCCAACATGTTGTTCCTTCAGTTGTATGTACAGTTGGCATACTGGTTATCACTAGGGCCATCTGTTTCTCAGATTTCCCAAAGGACTAGTGCACTCTGCATGAATCTTGGTAAAAATTAGATGAGAAAGCATAACTTGACAGTTGATAATATAACCCATCTACCAGTATCCATTTCTAAGATATCATTTGTCTGTAATCTCTTGTGAATAAACATTTACAAAATTTTCATCCCAGTAGTCCTTCCTTTTTGCTTAGTTTGTGTGTGTGCACATGTGGTGTCCTTCTAGGATTGGGTAATATGAATAATTAAAAAAAGGTAGTTGGGGATGTTTTCTGGATAAAATAGTTGAGACCTTTTTCATGAATTATTGGGAGCTCTTCATAAAGAACTTGCCCATAGATTTTAATTTGGACATATTTGCTGTATAGATCCATAGAAGTTCCAGAGATTTTTCCCAAGACTCTTGCACGGGAAAAGTATTTTAAAGTATGTGAATTGATACAGTGGCAAAGATAATCCCCAAGAGACTGTCAGGGAAGAGGAGACTTTGCAGACTTCCAAGATAAATAAAATGTTTATGGGCACCTTTGGACTACCCGCAGGGAAAGAGGCATGAAATACAGTTACAGCTGAGTAGATTTTTCTGTAGTGTCATCAAGTTGAAATGCTCTGATTTATAGTTGAATTCTCTATTACTAGAAGCAGCATTCCCAAGCAGCCCTATTACCTAGTTCATAAATTTCTGTTTATAAATTCTGTTACTTTCTTTAGGTAATAGCATAGAGAAGTTGCTAATCAGTGAAGACTGATAATTGTATCAAATGGAGGACTCAGTTTGGTAATTTCTTTTGTTGTTTGTAAGAAACTAACTTTCAGAAAAAAACACATAGGCATAGACATTGTTGTTCAGTCTGTGCTGTCCTGGGTGTTCTTCTCTGTATAGTGCAATCTCCAAACATTGCAGCCCAGTTTGGATGACTGAGGGCCCCTCAGCACCACACAGTGAGGCATGGGTGGATATCCCAGCCACCTGCAAGGCTGGTAGGGAGGGACCTGATATGACAAGGTCCCAACAGGTTTAATTAATGTGACAGCACACTTTAGTGATGATTCTGCCTGTGCTTTCAGAAGTGTTAAAATTTCTTTTAGACTGGGGATCTCAGCACTGTGATCTTACTGCAGTGTGCTTGCATTTGTATGGTTTCAAAACCAGCTACTGTGTCTCACTGTCCTTTTCATGGAGTTGTGGGTCAGTCAAGCCTATGGTTTTGCTCTTTCCTCAGTTTCCATGGCAGCTGAGGGAGATCATGATCCTCCCTCAGTCTCCTCTCATGGCTCATTTCCCTTTCTGGTAGACTGCCAAGATGGCAAGTCCTCTGCTAGCACACTCCTGCAGGGCCACAGCACAAGAGCTTCCTTTATGTGCTGTCCTGGAAAGACTGAATAGCATTTGACAAAAAGATGAAATAGGTGTTGTAGATCATTGGTCATGAGAACAGTTGGAAATATCAGGACTTTGAAAACACAGGGATATGCTTAAAGGAGCAAGATTTTTGTTGGTAGCAGGTAACAGCATTTGCATCTCTGCTGGCTTTAACTGTCTTGGAAATTGTGTTCTGTGTGCTACACACTTAGCTCTCTGCTGTGAAAGAAAGATTACTTGAGGGGAAAATATGCAGGATATGTATATAAATGTTGTTCACATTAATCCCATGTGGATTGCTGTAGAAAAGGAGTATCTGCCAGCACTACAATGCATCATAAACAGGTAATTCAAACTATGATGTAAAAGAGAATTTCCATTGATTTTTTTGAAATTTGGGAATTTGTCATTAACTTTTCATTTTGGCTGAATGGTGTTTTGTCATCCTGTTGCGCTTTCCAGTTTATCTTTGTTGGGTAAGTAAAAGGGCTTTATGGGGAAAAAAGTCTGTAAAGGGTCTTTATATGAAATAATGAAATGCTTCGGAGTATGCCTTATTCCATTACAAACACAACTTGCAGAATATTAAATACAGTATTGGTTATATTGGGATGTATTGATGTGAGTGTTACGGTGGCAGGCAGGATATTCACACTGGGAGAAATCAGCTACTCATTTTAGTTTCCAATCTCTTCACTCTCAGGAGATTTAGCTATTTGCATCTGCAGTACTAAGAATCTCTGGCAACTGTGAGTTCACCCCAGTGAGCTTGAGGAAGAGGAAAGAAGTTATGTGAGTGCTCTGCCAGAAGACATTTGGACAGGAATAAAAAGGATGAGTCAGAGGAGAGGGCTGTAGGTGGTAATGGACATTTCCTAATGCCCTCAATGGTATGTGTGCTTTTTGTGTATTTAGCACAGCAGGTGGTGGAGATAAATCCTACAATCTCCATGTACTTCTTGTTGCCACTTTGAGTGAGGAAAGAAAGGATATGTGCTGACACCACAACATGCAGGAGCTCATTAAGGCCATGCAAGCTGGTAACTAACCAGGCTCAGGAAACTGGAAAAGTTAGTCCAGTGGTGACCTGTCCTAGATTTACAGGTCCTGATGAATAGTGTGTTAACTTCCTTTTAGATTTGAAAGGGAGAATTATGATATTGACACGTACTCTAATTTTCATTAAGGCTGACATTGTGTGAATAATAGGCTGCAGTACTAAACTAAGCAGTGTATAGATGAAGTTCTAATCCAGTAGGTTATCTGCAGATGAAGAGCAGGAAAACTTGGAAAAATGGGAAAGGGTTTCTACCCAGCATAGAATTCTAATGTAAGAATACCTGTCAACATGGGGCAGTGCCTCTGGTTTCAGGAGAATTACTTTTATTGGAATCCTTTTTGTACTCCATGTTTGTTAAAAATATTTAAACCTAACACCTAAAGGTGAAAGAAAGAAGAGGCAGTGCGGGCTCTTCTTCAAATGTTTCTCTTTCCTTTTATCTCAATTTTTTTATCTCAAATCAGCTGCAGGAGACAATTTATAAATGAGATTAATTCAGTTGAGACTTAGTTATTGTACAGCCCATTCCAAGATTTGACTGCTTACAGCTGGAAACCAGTGAAGACTCTCTCAACATGACTATTCTAAAAGTTCTGAAAATTAGGAAATTGCAAAACAGTTTTGGGGTGAAAATCATGTTTCAAGTGAATCCCAGTGTCTTTGATGTATTAGAACCTGGTGACTAGTATTGTACTCACTCATTGATCCTAGTGGACTCTGATTAAAAACCAGTCTCTTTTTCTTCTTCCATAAGGAGAAGAAAAGTACTGTGTAAAAATTGATTTGATGCATTTAATCAATCAATGCTTGGAGGCATTAAATTATTTAGTGCAATGAAG